AATATTATTATATAGATAGTATAAAAGGATGAAGAAAGCTGATTGTATGTTTTGAAAATGCTGTAAGTGCTATAAAATCGTCCTTTTGTTGCCCTGGGTTTTGCCTGTGTATTAGGCCAGAGACACAGTATATTTGTCTTCAGCCGGCTGATCAATCTGAAACCAATTAACTGACATAACAATGCTGTCTGCTCCATTTGGACATCTTTCCTAACATCTCTATCAGTGTTTCTCCTGTCTGCTCAATATGTTGTGGAGAGCTTGTTAAAAGAAGGGAGCGTGTTGTAAAAGATCTTTTTAGACAGAAAGAACATTTTTAAAATAGTAATAGTAGTATTTATTGTTGTAGTTTGTGAATCATGATGTGCGGAGTTGTGTAATTTTCATTGCTGGAACAGGGTCTTGATGTGACCTTTTGTTGGTATAATAAATGTACTTTTTCATATTTATATATTCATATTTATATCAATATTTATATATTCATATTTATATATATATATATATATAAAAAAAACGCACTGGTAATTTTCTGCCAGGACATTATGCAGAAATTTGACAGACATTTCCGTTAACCATAAAGCACAAAGCAATGGAGTGCAACATTCAAAATATAGGTAAACCACCTGTAAAAAAATAAATACGGAAAATAATGAACTAATTTATATGCACAATAAAAATGGTAAACCTCTGGCAAAAAGCCTCAGCTGTATAACAAAATAGACATACACAAATGTGACTGGCATCCAGGAGTGTAACGTTGCTTCTGTTTCGGGTCGATTTGATCCCAGTGAAAACATGGTAGAAAAATGCCGTTCAGTTAAAATGCATTTGTTAATATTTTACACATAGCATCTCTGAAAACCAAGTACAAGTAAAAAGTAAATGTGCACATGTAATGTAAGATTTTTTCCATCGTAGGACAATGGAGGGCAATTCTGCACCGTACTGTATCATTTCTCTCATCTTTTTTTTTTTACATTTACTGTCATTCGGTGGAGACTATACACTGCAAAACATGTTTTTTGAAGTTGTAACTAAAGATTATTAGAGTGTGTTTTTCAAGAAAATACTATTTCAGTCTTTATACTTCCAAATTACAATTAATTCAGTGTCACTTGCTGTTTCCTTGTAATTATGGGGGAAATTAGTTCAATATTTCACCAGATATATCAGTACTGTTGACCCAATCCTGCTCTTTCTTTCTTTCTTTGGTTTAGCGGCGAAGCCTGAGGAGAAGGAGGAGGTGCCAACTGTTGCGGGAAAGGTTGACGCAGAAAAGGGAAAGAAGAAAGAAAAAGAAGGCAAAAAGGAAGGCAAGGGTGCAAAAGAAGGAAAAGAAGGGAAGGGAGAGGAGAAGGATGAAACCACAAAGAAGAAAGGGGAAAAGGGAGAAAAAGGAGAGAAAGGAGCATCAAAGAAAGATGCGTCGGATGGAGGGAAAGGTAAAAAGGGAGGTGGAGAGAAAGGAGGCGAGAAAGGAGAAGAAAAAGGAGGGAAAGGAGGTGGAGCCAAGGGCGGTGCCAAGAAGCCTGCAAAAAAGTGAACATTTAGTCACCTTAATGGTGTGTGCTGAACTTTCACTAGCCATTTTTTATTTTTTTGTAAGAAAATGTATAAATGTACAGCATATTTATTTTATTGTAAATTGTAAATATCGACAATAAATGATTCTCTGTTAATTACACATTTTCATTTATTTTTCACGTGATACACATCAGCACTAAATAATACAACACTGGTGTACATAGAAAAGTTAGGCTGCATTTATGTAACAGAACATATAAACAACATCAACAACAAAATATTTCAAACATTTCAAAATATTTTGAAGGGGGTCCACTGGAGAAAGAAAGCAAATGGTGACAATTTTCATTTTTTGGGTAAAATATTCGTGTCAAAACACTTCTGCTGAGGACATGAATGATGGGATGTAATAAAACTATGTAATAAAAAGCACATGAGCAAAGCAGAGATTAACAGTTATTGAAAGCAGTAAAACAAGATCAATTTCTTCTCTGATTGATCTGTCATGAAACCTCACTGTTTAACAGAACTTGCACATCCATCATTCAAGCAGTTATTGCCAAATCATTCGCTGTTAATAGCTAAAACAAAGTCTCAAATGTTATTGAGTACCAAGGCATAAAAAGTGCAAAAACAGATGACATTTTATAAATAATACAGCTGAAAAGAAGAGATTACATTTAATGGTAAAAAACTTGATTGAAAAGTTGTTGCTTTGATCTGTCCTCAAATTTCAAAAGTGTCATATAAAGCAAAGCAGAATGCATATGTATATTTTTTGTTAAAGTTTATTTTGTTGAGCAAAGGATCGAAGTTATTGACTAGCAAAAAAATTATTGCTGGGAATAATTTAAAAAAAATTTTTTTTTTGGTAATATTTCAGCATATGTACTGCTGTATACTGAACTGCCAGCATATGACATCATAACCTTGATTACAGTCTTTTCATAACATTCCAAAACATATGCAAATGAACATTTAGCTCATAACTGGATGGACATTTTTATGTATTGTGTAAACACAACATTGACGTATATACATGGAATAATAAAAAGCAGCATTATATTATACATAACAGACCATGAGCCTCTAAACCTCTAATACTGACTTCAGATAAATACCAACAAATAAAGGGTTCATTACCCGATATACACATTTGTTCTTCCTTATGGCTATATATATATATATATACAGTGGGTACGGAAAGTATTCAGACCCCCTTAAATTTTTCACTCTTTGTTATATTGCAGCCATTTGCTAAAATCATTTAAGTTAATTTTTTTTCCTCATTAATGTACACACAGCACCCCATATTGACAGAAAAACACAGAATTGTTGACATTTTTGCAGATTTATTAAAAAAGAAAAACTGAAATATCACATAGTCCTACTTATGGCTATATATATATATATATACATATATATAAAAGATTTTCAGCTTTTCATATACAGTAATGTATGACTGAGGATTGAGGCATGAGTAGGTATAATAAAAGGCTTTTCAGGATGAAAACGCTCATTTATTAACCAATGAAGATAATGTATAATAATGTACAGGTGCTTTCAATGAACAACTCGAATGGCGCCTTTAATGGAGAAGAATTCCCTGAAAACTCTTACAGTACAGATCATAATGCTGCTGCTAACTGATTTACTCAGTATTTTGTTCATCCATGGCCTGACACTTGAAATATATAGTCTAAAAATGAAACCAAATAACAGAAAACACCAAAATAAAAAGGTATACTGGGTGCTGCCAAAGGATATATTATAAGGCAATATAATAATTTTCATGAATGCATTATTAAAATCATAATATACTTATCAGTATATTTATGAAAATATTTGAGTCATTCCTGCAGAATGCAAACTGTAATGATCTGTTAAGTGTTATATAATGCAATAATTAGTGGTGCTATTACTGTAGAGTTAACGATGCGAATGCACTCCTTACCTTTATTATTAAATGTCTGCTTATGTATAACTCGTCCTGCACTGTTTGTGCTTCGGATATGAATGATTCCTCATATTATATGGCTTGTTATTAATAATTATTGTATTGCTGATATATAGTATTGGGGGTAACGCATTACAAGTAATGTGAGTTACGTATCAGATTCCTTTTTTCAAGTAACTAGTAAAGTAACGCATTGCTTTTTAATTTACAAGAAAATAGTTACTTTTTCAGACAAGTAAGGCCAGTTACTTTGTTTTCCCATTGACTGACAGCACAAAAACAGATTCAGTATTCCTCAAAATGAATAAAAAACAGTGAAGTGCAAACTCAGAATATGATGCAAACCTGCAATAATTAAATAAAGCAATAAACCCCGTGAAGCCGTGGTTTACAGTGAATTTATAACAGCAACACTTTATTTTAAGGACCAGTTCTCACAATTAACTAGTAGCTTATTAGTATGCATATTAATGCCTTATTCTGCATGACCATGTTCTAGATCCCTTAACCCGACTCAATACCTAAACTTAACACCTACCTTACTAACTATTAATAAGCAGCAAATTAGGAGTTTGAGGGAAAACTCTTAGTTAATAGTTATGATCAGATTAGATGATGATTTTCCCCTTTGGATAATAAAAATGGGCATTGAAAAGCTTCCCACACATATTGAGGGTTTGGATTATAGAGATTTTGTGGTGGACTGCTATTTTTTATAAATACTATTATTAATAGTTTTATAAAGTACTAGGATACATTTGCTATAATAAATGGTTAAGGCAGCCAAAAATGACCCTGAAAATGGAAAAAAAAATACAGACAGAATTTCTCTTTTATGCTTAGTATTCACCTTATTTTTCAACGCTGAAAAAAGCTGTTTTCTGTGAATGTGTGAGACTTCTGGTTCATTAGCCACTGTAGGGAAATAACAAGAAGAATAACAACGTGCAGTAAACGGTAAAACTGTTTGCACTACAAACAAGTGTGTTCATAATTAAGATAATACATAACAAAAATATGGTAAGACACACCAGTTTGTAATATCAAAAACCAGCTGTTTTGGAAGCAGATGAGACCGGAAGCCAGACACATTACATTTACAAAAGGCCGCGCCCGCTCTTACAGGAAAAAATAATCTAAATAATAATAGTATGCGTTTGCCCTAATAACAATATGCTTTGATGTTTCACTACTGGCAATAATGCAAGCTTGTACTGTATAAATCCACACAGATTCAGAGGGAATTCACTTTTGTTTCACTGTCAGACTCATGAAGAAAAAAGATAGTCTGGCAAGATTTGGCAAATCTACTGAATAAACACGTGGATAAACGAGACAGTCGCTCAAATAGACAGAAATATCACATTCTACGAACAAAAACCTGCTATCATAACACAAAGAGTGTCCCTACTGGCAGTTGCATCTGTAAATAACATTATATTAAAAACATTTTATATATATCATGAGTATCTTATTTACAATTGACGGCCCACAGTGCCATATATTTCATATAACTTGATCCTGAAGCAAACTCACCGTTCTTCATCTAAGGAGGTGATCTGACAACATGAAAGCACCGGCGTTGTATGTTCACAATGTGTTGACCACAATTTTTAAAACCAAAATGTGTTGTCATCCTCCGAATGCTGCTGGTGAAGATGAAGATGATGATGATGATGATGGCATTTAAAAGACACGGATCATATCTGGTCCATTAGGTCAGTCACCGCGTCTCCAACTGTACATCTGAGATGGTCCCACAACCCAAATTGTGAGGAAATCCTGAGAAACAAAGGATTGTCTAATCCTTCGACATTTTTCATTGTCTTTATTAAGGTTTGTAAAGTCACATGACTGTTTCTCTTTCCTCCTCCACCACCGGGATGGTTTTTTCCACCTGGACGTTCTTCGAAGGTTCTTCCTCTTGTATATGGAGCTCCTGACCCGAGGACGGGATGGAGTTCTCAGAGACCGAGCCGTTCTTCACGTATCCCGGAAGGTTCCGGTGGCCGTTGAGGGAGACGGGCCCCAGGCGGGTGGTGAGGTGCAGGGCCAGAGGGCCCCGTGCGGTCACGTTAGTGACGCTGGTGTGAGACACCATGGGTCCATAGCTATACGTGTTACTGCCACTCCGGGCTTTTCTCTTGAAGTCCAGAGCGAGAGTCCTCCTACTCCATGACTTCTTGATTTCTGCTTGGACCTAACGAGTGATCAAATTAGAATATATGTGACCCTGGACCACAACATTAACGGTCTTAAGTGTCAATTTTGGGAAATTGAGATTTATACATCATCTGAAAGCTGAATAAATAGCTTTCCATTGATGTATGGTTTGTTAGGATAGCACATTATTTGGTCGAGATACAACTATTTGAAAATCTGGAATCTGAGGGTGCAAAAAAAATCTAAATATTGAGAAAATTACTGCTGCTTCACAGTCATTTAAATCAACCCATTAATTCTCATTAATGTTCGTGACAACAGCACACTAGAGTACAATGAACTGCAATATTTATATGGACAAAATCACACGATTCAGCCACAGATAATAACAGATTTTGCTTTTATACAACCGTTCAACTGCACAAGTATGTACATAAATAAGGGAGGAGTGCCTCAAAACCCCTCTTGTGTGCCATTGATCAAACAAATGCTCCTAATAAATAAATATAGCTATTAACAACAATGCACTTATATCACCAGCGAATACACCATGAGCCAGAGAAAGAGAACCAAAAAGGTCAAATATAATATTCAGTGAAGAAAAGTTAGTTTAGGATTAGTTGGGAAAGTGCATGATATTGTAAGGTCAAATTTTGTATGATTACTTTATTTAATGTATCAGTAACACTGCAATATAGTTGCATATTCATTAACACAATAGTTAACATGAACTAAGAATAATTGTATATATTTTTAATACTTTATAATACTTAACTTATGAAAATTTTGTACACATACCAATTAATTGTAATATTAAAATGATGTAGAAATAACAATCTAACAATGGACAAATAAAATATTTCAAGAGGGTTACCAACGTTATGTTATGGGTTGGGGGTTGGTTAAGAGAATATATGCTAATTAAATGAAACGATTAAAGCAGTAAATCTGAAAATTTTGTGATATAACCAATTATCTGCCAAAGTTTTAGGACACAGAAGCGACAGAGTATAAAAGTTAATTCTTACCTCTCCATTGCAGAAGCAATATATAATTGCAACAAAGAATCCCTGGAAAATAGAGCATGAATATAAAGATACAAGTTATAGCAACATACTTTGGTGTCTATGCACAATCTTAATTGTCTACATCTTTTTAGAAATATTACCTGGAATGAGTTAAAGAGCATTTCATAATGCATCTGGATTTGCCACGGCACCCCAGACACTTCTGTATAGGGCATTGCCATGAACACAATGTAGTGAACCCCAAACAACGGCATGAGGACCAGCGTCGATTTCAACAGCTTTCTGTGGCATAAAGAAAAAGATAACAAAAAGAGATAAAGAACCGAACTATATTTAAATATTCAATACTGTTCAAAAGTTTGGAGTCAGTTTTTTATCTATTTTTTTTTTTTAAGTAATTGACACTTTTATTCAGTAAGGATTCATTAAATCAATCAGAAATAACAGTATAGCAATTTATAATGTTTCAAATAAAGGTGCAAAAAAAACCCAGTGTGGTTTCAACTTCAGCAAATCAGCAAATTAGAAAGATACACACATGCATGTATATATTTAAGAAAAATGTGTTTTGTTTATATATATAATATTTATATATAATATAAATTATATATGAATGTAAATATATATTTTGTATAGTGCTTTTCATAATACACATTGTTTCAAAGCAGCTTTACAAAAAAATGCATGTGTATTTATATATACATAATAAATACACACAGTACACACACCACATATATCTAAACAAACACTTTTATTTTGGATTTATTTTAACAGCACTAATATATATATATATATATATATATATACTGTATATATATGATTGAAAATATATTTAAAATTACATTTTTTCATATATTAAAATAGAAATCAGTTATTATAATAATATTTCACAAAATTCTGTTTTTTTACTGTAGTTTTGATCAAATAAATGCAGCCATGATTAACATAAGAATCTTCTTTCAAAAACACACACGCACACACACGCACGCACACACACACACACACACACACACACACAAAATCTTACCTATACTGTTGTCTGGTGTCACATCTTCCTGCATTTGTTTCTCTAAGCTTTGTTGCCAAGACTCTGATTATATTGAGGAACAACAAAAAATTTACCTTTGGGGAAAAAAGTATATGCACTTATTAATGCGTCATAATTAAGACATATCTAATAGACACATGACCTAACTGCATTAACAAATTATTCTTACAATGTATTCACATTCATGGAACTGGCAGACAAATAAATATAATATTTGCAATTTACTTGAGACACATGAATGAATCATATGAAGCTCAACAGAACTAACAGTCAAATGTGTACACACTTGAATGTATTTATACTAAACTTTTTATCTAAATAATTCTGTCTATTTTTATTTATGTAAACTTACAACAATTGCTGTCAAAATAGGGATCTGCACAATCCATTTCAGGTTTCCTGCGCTTAAATCCCAGCACCTGTAGATCATAAACCAGATGAGAGAAAGCTCAATCCAGACATCCTATTAATATTTAATAGATAGTATACAAAGATACTGTGTTTTATTTCTAGAGTCTTTTGCAAAACATCCTGCATGTGCATACATTATTTACCATTTAGAGAATATTTTATTTGTTCCGCAGGCTGAATTAATATTGCATTCCTGTATAAATGCACACATGGCAATATTGGCAAACAGTGTGAAGCACAAACACTTACTCAGTGTCAGCAAGAGTGGCTCTCACCATATTTAATAGACAGTATACAAAGATACTGTATTTTATTTCTAGAGTCTTTTGCAAAACATCCTGCATGTGCATACATTATTTACCATTTAGAGAATATTTTATTTGTTCCGCAGGCTGAATTAATATTGCATTCCTGTATAAATGCACACATGGCAATATTGGCAAACAGTGTGAAGCACAAACACTTACTCAGTGTCAGCAAGAGTGGCTCTCACGCTGGCCCAGATGGTTACAAACATTGCAGGAACACCTGTTTAATGAAACCTTTAGTGACCTTTACTTTCAAATTGCTACATACAGAAGAACCTCAGTGCTTTTTAAATGAATAAACTAATACATAATTGTATTAGTTTATTTGTTCTTGTATTGCAAATAATAATAATAATAAATTAATTAAACATTTTTTTATTTTATTTGTTTGTTTGTTTTGTGGTGGTGGTGAAAATGCTGGCAAAGCATTTATATATAAACCTGAAGTACTGGCCCAGCAGAAAAAAACACAACAAACAACAACAACAAAAAAATCCTACAGTTGAGCCCTGGCTCTGCAACACTGGTTTAAGCAACAGAGAAGTGGTTTAGCTTCACAGCATCCACATTGTATGCGCTGTGCATGTACAACTTTTCCGCACAGTGTGTACAATGCAGGAGCCGTGGAGTCCAAATTATATCCACAAATGCAGACACATTTGCTGTTGTCTCTAAGAGATATAGCACATGTCACTGTGCTGCACTGGAAACAATTAGCAATACCTCAAAGTAACTCTTGCCATTGTTCAAGAGTAAAATTAAAAATCTGTTTGATATACAAATTGACAGCTAATTTAAATTAACTGGAGAAGATGTCCATTAGAAGCACTGATTAAATATTTTGGATGATTTGGTGTCTGTAGCCAGAAGCCGAATAATTATGTCCTAGTGTTGTGTTTTGGACATGAGTCTACATGAAGAAGATTGTTTACTCACCCCAGCCAATCAGAGTAAAGCCCCAAAGGTACTTCCTGTCTGAGAAGAAGGTCATGAAGATAAGGCTGTGCAGGTACAGGCCTTCCACCAGAATCCAGTAATAATTAGTCGCCAAGAAGTACAAGAAGAGAGTGACAGCCACCTTGCATCCAATCTTAAAGGGTAAAGTAAAATCGATTCAGCACATATTGATTAGAAGCATGTGTTCCAATTTCACCTTCATTTGGTTTTGAGTTACAAGCTATATGTAACTTGACTCCCCCTCAAAAATCGACATTTGTAGTTTATATACAAGGACAATTTAAAACAAGCTTTGGAAGATAATGTAAGTGGTTGCCTCTGAGATGAGGAAACAAGATATGGCGTCAGTAGCCAGAGCTATGGAAAACTACCTTTTTCCAAAAAAGTCTTGTTGAATCACGCCAGTGTCTTACAATGACCAACGGCATTCAAGCACGCCACATGGAGGCAGCTCTCAGCCTATATAAAGTGGCACCAAACGCCAAATCCTCAGAATCTTTTGATTGAGGAATAACTGGTGAGCTCTACTCGAGTACAGTAACACAGACAGCAAATGTAATGTCTCATTCCCTCATCTCTGGGAAGTGAGGTTACGAGAGTAACCAGAGACTTTCTTTTTTGATTTTGGTTCATTGCATCGATAGCTGATCATATGATCATCACGCTGCATTATCTGTGTAGAACTGACCCAGCTCACAGAGTGGTGTCTTGGAAGAATATTTTACATGAAACATTGAGGTGGTGGCCACTGCCAACACCATACAGAAGTTGCACAAGCATCAGTGGTTAATCAGCCGGCCACTCGTCATAATATTATAGTATAAGCAGAATTGCAGCAGCATTACTGGTGCACATCAATTATAACATGGACTACAGCAATGCCGGCATCTTTATATACAGTTAACAGTGGTGGCTTCCCAATGAAAGGAAGCCTGCCAAGCACCAGGAGCTAGTTGAAGAGTGCAGGAGGCAGGGCTGGCAAACTCGTTGTGAGCCTCTGGAGGTGGGCTGCAGAGGATTTTTTAGGGCAGCCACTCTGCAAAAGGTTTACACTACTAGGCATCACTGGGAAGGCAAAGAGAAAGGCTATCAGATCTGCGACCGAAGCCACAGAGAAAGCCACTAGGTGGCTTTGGATTAAGAAGGCAGAACCGTGGGCAAATGCTGCTGGGACGCAGGCCTGGGTCTGATAAACTCCGGCCGGGTCGTCTAGGCGAGGGAATATGATGTTGAACAACCCGAAACACCCAATGTCCGCAGGATACATCACTGATGATGTGCACCAGCTCATCTGCATGATTAATCTTTCACTAGTGCTCATTAATATTATATAAAGCAACATCAGATCACTGGTGCCCAATAAGCACAACATAAGGCAACGAAACAGTCCTTAAGAAAGGTCTGTGTTTTTGCACGGTGTCACCTCTCATTAGGCCATCAACAGATAATTGTCGAGGCAGTTCAGTGTGCAGACTTCACCCATTCCCTGTGGGGAAAGTGCTGCAATAGGCCTCACACGGGGAACCAAAATGTTGTGGTTCTCACACATGACAGAAAATTAATGTTATGAGTTTTGGTCACACTTTAGTTAAGGTGTCCAGTCCTCAGTCTACATCTGAATGAGAAAGATTCTGAGGATATGGCATTGGCACCACTTTACATTCAAGATTCAAGAGAACTTTATTGTCACATACACATCACAGCCATATACAAGTATAAAGATGGGGTGAAATGTCATTTCTCTAAGGCTCGTGGTGCAACATTTTCAGCTGACACAACATAGAGAGATAGGGTGCAAATATCAAGGTAAAAGTATTAAAACATTTAATGGTCACACTTTAGTTTGGGGACCAGTTCTCACTATTAACTACGACTTTTGATCAGTGATGTGCAAGACGGCATTAAAACATTTATTCAAATATTTGGCACATTCCAATGCCATTGGCCAGTGTGAGACACTGGTGTGATTCAATAAGGCATCAGAATTTTTGGAAAATGGTGTTCCCTATAGCGCCAGCTACTGACGCAATGCAGAGTGAACCTCAATCGAAAGGGATCTGGGCGGCTGCCGGTTACTGGTCCAAGTCAAAAGGGCATACCCTCAAATATTTATTATATCCTGGTCTCTGGATATGACTTGGGACCCATATTCATGACAAATTAGAATATCCATAATCCTTCCTGTTACTGGGTATGAGTAACTACCATAGTTACTATAATAGTCTTAATTATAATGTTTAATTAAAAAGGAAATTAATTTAATCCACATTAAGCTTAACTGAAAACCCTGTTTCCTGGTTACGCATACATGTGGAAATTACAGGAGCATCTTAGTGGCAAGTCAACAACAAATGGCTTCAGAAGATAGCGATGCTCCCAAACTACTACTATGGCAACAACACAGTGTGGGATTTCTCTGCTATGGACTTCACTGTTAGATATGATTGTATGTGTGCTGCACTTACAAACTTGGTTTTGTTGGCAGGAGGGGCTTCTGTGATGGATTTGAGATCCTCCACAGTGATGCGCTCCATTTCCTGCAGCGCGGCACCCGAGTACAACACCACGTCTTTCACAAATATACTAATGGCCCTCAGCATGAACGATACAAACAGGTGCATGTGGATGTAGTTTCTGGTGCAGTGTAGTCGCCTGAAACATAAAAGATACAAAAGAGAAATGAGGTCAAACAGGGGTAATTAGTTGTGAATAGTGTGAGGTATCAAGGTACATGAACAGACCACAATGTTGCAGATTAGTACCGTGCAATAGCAGATACTTGGAGCTGTGTGAGTGTGTGTGTGTGTGTGTGTGTTTAGCTGCTCTCCAATGCCCTTTCACAGAGGCTAGAAGAACAATACTCATCTTAATTAGAGCCAGATGAGTCTGCCGCTGACTGTAACACATTATTTGGATTTAAAATGTTCAGAAAGCACAAATGTTGAAAATGTAGGGCTCAAAAAGTAAGCTATAAAAACAAAATTGCAAGCATGTGTTACCCAAATTCCCTTAAGGTTTGTCTACACTCTCTCAAACTAGTTTGACCGGAGCAAGTCTATTAAGTAAAAGCTCCTCCAGATTTGTTGCAGTCCTCTGAAAGAAATGACGTTGCAGCCAGAAGTGATATTTACATTACAGCTGTCAATAGGTAAAAATCTACACAAATCCCTATATTATAAATATATTTGTATAGTTATATTATATAGATAGTTTGCCCTTCACCCACCTCTACCTAAATCTATACCAATAATATAAAAACGTTATAATTTAATGCATAGTTAACTAATAATAAACGTAAATATGTGACAAATATTTTAGTTGTAATATACTATTGTATGGATATTTTCAACTCAATTCAGTATTCAATGAACCTAAAATGACTCATAAACATTTGTACATTTCTTCAGATGTGTAAAAAAGTTTGCGTTTTAGATGCTGCCAACATATCCATCCTGTATGTTTCAGTGTTTATGCTAACGTATAAAATCATATGTGTGCTAGAATCAAATGCATACTGTATGTTTATTCATATGATCACATTAGACATCGGAGCTAATGTCATAGGGAACTTTTGTCTCAAAAGGATACTGTATTGATGTCAACTAAAAGATTACAGCCACCTAAATGTCTGCACTAAAATGCCCCCTTCATTCAACACAGATAGCAATCAATAGCAAACAAGATCAACTCATGAGAATGACAGATCAATTTGTGCTATAAGAGTACAATTTCAAAAATGGTTTCAGAACCTGGTCAGTAATAATTGTGGGTCCAACACCAGACAATCACCACAAACTGTGTGATATTTTAAAGTTAACATGGAATCAAAATTAATTGTCCTTATTATTATGATTGTTGGTATGATTTACTGAGTGTTCTGAGGGGTTGCTAGTTGTCGAAATATACCTGAATTGATGATAACCATGATATTTACATATTCTTTTCATGTTAATACTACAGATATGACAATATTGTAAACAATCAATATTGTAAACAGGAAGTGCAGATCAGCAGTAAGTGCAAAAGCATGTAATACTACCAATAAGACTTTAAGACTTTACCAATAAGACAAAGTCATTTGAATGCTGCTCTTTTCATACTAAACAACCGTCATTGTGAATAATCTTCTCTCAGATAACGGCTTTTATAATTCATAGCATTCGTCACTCACGTGAACAAGCACCGTTTAGCATCTGATTTTGTGCTTTTGATGGCAGTGTCTATTACTGTCAGTGAGAGGAAAATCATGGCTAAATAATGTAGTGTGTGGGTGGCATACGTTGCAGTTTAGTTTGCTTGCCCTAAATGTTTCAATGAGGTCTTAGATGTGCTGTTAAGCTTAGATATCATGGTGTTTTTTTTTGTTGTTGTTATTGTTGCTGGTTTTTTTTTTTTTGTGATACTGTGATATCATTATTATAAATTATTTTGGTCACGATAATTGTGCAGTGAAAATCTGACATAAAGAGAGCCCTAGATGACTGCATATTGATTTATAAAAAATATTTTTTGTCACGCTCAGAAAAACTTTTTTTTAATATTTTGTTTCCATGACTTTTCCAGGCCTGGAAAACATATTTGAAATGCAATGATTTTTCTAGATTTTCCACAGCTGTGAGAACCCTGTACTAGAGTGCAGTTAGCTGGTTGGGTAACACTTTACATTAGGAAACATTAGTCAGTGTTAACTAGTTTCTTATTATCATGCATATTACTAGCATATTGGCTGTTTATTAGTACTTATAAAGCACATATTAATGCCTTATTCTGCATCATCATATTCTAGATCCCTTAACCCTACCCAATAGCTAAACATAACTACAACTACTTCTACCTTATTTACTATCAATAATCAGCAGATTATGAGTTAACTGAGGGGAAATTCTCAACTAATAGTGAATATATGTTCCCCAATGTAAAGTGTTACAGAAAGTTCTAGGAGAAATTACATTAAGAAAAGGTGGTTTCAAATTAGGGATATATATATATATATATATATATATATATATAAAACAGTCAACCAAGGCCATAACCAGGTCAAATTTGTTTTATAAAATACAAAGAAATAGAAAGGTGAAGGAAATTATAGGTCTAATTCTAGTTGGAAATTTGCAAATAATATTTTTAAAAAATATGCACACATTAACTCTTATTTGTATGCCCAGTGTGTAGAAAATGCAAAACGTTTCTTGTCTCGTCACATTTATTTAGGAATTATTTTCAATTCAAAATGTCGATTCGAAATTCGAAATTTGAGTAAAAAGAAAATATCACTGGCTATTACTGTCAGTTGTTTAACATTTCTATCATAATACAGTTGTCAAATATGAAATGTTTCACTACTTCCATCTTACCTCAGATTCTTTCAACCTTAAAACTGATGCTTTGCACTGGAATTCACGCTCTGCTTCTGTGAACCGTAAACCCCGCCTACTTTAATTTGATTGGCCATTCTAATCATTTTGACATTGACGAGAGATCACAGAGGCTAAAAATGTAACATTTAAACCCTTTTGTCATCCTAACAATAAACTGAGCCATACAATTGTCATTTTCTTTTGTGATCAGTATCCATTCCTATTTTTGTTAATTCAGAGAAAAATCTGAGTTATTTCTTACTAATACTCTGAAAATGCACAGTTCAGGTGTTCAGTTTGGTCTCTTCTGCAGCCAAGCACGTTAAAATATGAAACCTTTCGGGTTTATTTTTGTTATTCCGCTCTCTCCTCTGGAGAGGTTTAGAGCAGCTGTGTGGGAATCACTTGCCTCCTCGTCATTAGACTAACTGCTGTTTAACCACCGTCCCATTGGGAACTATTGATCGGGAAGCTCAGGAGAGCTGATCCGTGTAGAGCCGGCGTCCCGAAGCGTGCCTCAAACACTGGAGCTAATGTTTGAGAGTCACCGTGCCGCATGACTGATGTCCTGGAGCACATGCACCTGAGACCATACTACTGACACTGTGAGCGCAGAGCATGGAAACGCTGGCAGTGGATCAGCAACAGCCCAAACGAGCCCTTATTAAAGTCATTTTCCTGACCTGCATTTCCTGGTGCCCAGGCAATGAGCTGGCTCTTAAGAACACGGAGCACTGGAGCCGAGTCAAGCTAATCTGGTACCTGTCAGCAGCTCGTTCCGCACACGACCCGACCCTTTATTTGAATAAGCCCACTGGATAAATAACGACGGGAACCTCTTTGCATTAATTAGTAATGAAAATGGAACGACTGAACGCAAAAGTAATAAATGCACTCATATGTCTTCATACTGAAAAAGGGCCAGTACACATGCTGGGAGAACTATTAGAGAAACATTCATTTGATGCAGTTCATTTGGAAAACATTCATAGTTCTTCATTCACTGTCACTGTAATTTACAAATGATTAATGTTAAGCTTACTAATCAATAATTGTTTTATTAGCGTACTCATTGTGTCTTAACTATAACAACGTGATCTCATGAGTATCTGAATGTATTTTATGTAACACACAATCACTTACGTTTGCATAGACACAAACACAAACAGTCAGTGCTGGGTAGTAACTGATTACATTGTATTATGTAATCAGAAATGTAGTACTTGTAATTAGATTACATTACATTTTAAATGCTCATAATCAGATTACACTTACTTTTAAACCCTGAAGTAATGTAATCTTTAAAGCATTTCATGATTTTATTTTTTTATAACACTAATCCCATTCATACTTTTGCGTTCAACGACAATAAATAATGTCAAGTTATTCAAATCTTTAAACAAGTTAAGGTTTAAGTAATCTAAAAGTAATCCAAAAGTAGTCAGAATACATGACCTAAAATGAGTAATCTAAATTACATTACTGACGACAATTTTTATCATGTAATTTGTAATCAGGAGCAGACTACAATTGGTAAATAACCTACCCAGCACTGCATTCAGTATTTACATATTTATGTAATTATTGTCACTGGACAATTTTCTGCCGATTACATTTTTAACATTTGTAATATTATATATAGTACTCAGTATTAATGCAATTAGCTTGTAATAAATTTTATCGTTTTTAATGTAGTATTTTCCATGGACTAATCTAAAGTGAGAATTATTAACTCTGGATAACCATTAAAAACTTCGGTAACACTTTTTATGAAGCCCGTATTTATAATACATTATAAGAGTATTCTTAAGGCATTATAATGAATGCATAATGCATTATAAAAAAAAACCTTATAATATGTTGTATCATCTCATGAGTAATCAACAGTTTTAATGCATTATACTATTTACTTATTTGTGGTTATAGCTTGTTTTAAGATTATGATGATTTATAATACACAATGAACACAATGCATCCACTTAACTCACAATGGATTATAATTCCCATAGTTATAATGTATTATAAGTCTCATATCTTTCCATTGTTAACTTATTACTTTACTTAAAGCAGACAAAGACCACTTATAACTAACAACAACAACAATAATAATAAAAATAAAAAATAAATTTTTTTTTCTTAAACAGCCATAAGATCAGATATCTGATCAGATGAATGTGTAATACGGCACATTTGATTTTAACTATATTTATAGTAATATCAGTAAGATATTGTAGATCTTAAATAAATAATGTCAAGATATGAAACGTATAATCCATTATAAATGAAGTGGATTTAACATGGTGTTTATTGCGTGTTATAAATAATCATACTCATAAAAGTTATAACCACAAATAAGTA